TGTGTGTGTGTGTGTGTGTGTGTGATTTTATTTGTTGAAGCACCATCTGGCTATGTTGTCCAGGCTGGCCTTGAACTCACAATCCACCTTTCTCATCTGCCTGAGTACATACGCCACCACATCTGGCCCATGATGTGCCCATTCTTTAAGGTACAACTCAAATGCCACTAATTTCTCCTTCCTTCTGGTTATAATCTTAATCCTTTGACCAACTTTTTTTTCCTACTTCTGAGAATTGGACCTAGAACCTTCTGTGTGCTAGGCAAGTGGCCTACCCCTGGGGTATACCCCTAGCCCTTTTAATGAATATTCACATAAGTATAGATTTAATAAATACTCTTTAAATTTTTAAATTTAGTTTTTATGTTATGTGTATGAGTGACCCTCACGTGTGTGTGTGTGTGTGTGTGTGTGTGTGTACCACGTGCGTGCCTGGTGCCCAGGGCAGCAGAAGAAGGTGATGGACCCCCTGGGGCTGGAGTTAAGGTTGTGAGCCATCATGTGTTCCTGGGAACCAAACGAGTCTTTCCAGGATCGAGTGCTCCTAACCAGTGAGCCAGCTCTTGAAGCCCTTTTAACGAAAATTCTACGGGCAGGCAGAGACGATGTTTCGCCACCTGTGTGTGACCCCGCTGGGCGCAGGCTCTGCCTGGCACCGAATGGACTCTCAGGTAACACTAGAGTCTTACTTAGCACTGGAGCACGGCAGCGGCCCTTCCTTCCTGCCCCAAGCCGTCCTCCACCATCAGAGGCTTCTTGACCAAACTCCAACCTCCGTTTCTACTCCTAGCCCTTCTCCTCATTCTCCTTTTCTCTTTGGTTCTCAGGTGGATCGGCTAGTCTCTCAGCTATGACTGCTCAGCAGCTTCCTAAATTCTTCAGGGTGGAGTCTCCTTTAGCAGATGGGGAGGTGGGGGTGGGGAGGGTGTTTGCATGCCCCGTCACTGTCTACTATCTGCTGCTGCTGTCCACTCCAAAACACGGTCCTAAGATTCAGAAACCTCTGGACAGCCAGCACGGCAGGAGAGCCCACCATCTCTCCCCCCCTCTGTGCCCTGCCCCTCTTACTAGAACTATCTGCCGTGACTGTGCCCAGATTTGCTCCAGTCCTTGGAAGCATTTGTGACCTCTCAATTTCATGTCCTTAGAGAACATTTTCCAAGTGACAGGTAGAGTGATCGATCATTCGAAAAGGTACCCAGTGGTAGTTAGGCGGTGGTGGTGCCCACCTTCAATCCCAGCAGTTGGAAGGCAGAGGCATGTGGATCTCTGTGAGTTCAAGGCCAGCTTGCCTCAAAAAAAAAAAAAGCAACCTGTTGATTTCTTCTATGGCTTAACACTCTTTGGTGGTTCGTGTTGATTTCTTCTATGGCTTAACACTCTTTGGTGGTTTCCTGTCACACTCTACCCAGCTTTGGTTTGCTATCTGCCTTTAAGGTAAAGCTGTCGGCTCTGGCTCCTGACCTCCGACCTTCCCATCATGCTCCGGCCATACTGGGATCCATCCTAACCCCATCGTCGATGTCACCAGTTTGGAGCACTGTTGCCTTTGAATGACCATAATGCCATAAATGCTGTATATATATGTACCCTCCATGATGAGGCTTCCTGTGGCCTCGTGGTCTACAGTATTTCCTTGGAACATTGACTTTTCTGTTCTGGGTACTTATTGTTGCAAAGCAAACTGCTCTAAAACAATCTGTTGTTATGGTGTCTCCTGATCCCACCAGTTAGGAAAGGAAGCAGGACATGATGGGAACAGTTTGTCTTTGCTCTGTGAGGTCTGGACCCTCATCTGAGTCCTATAAACTCCCTTATAAATTGTATTCTACTCTAAAAAGATTTATTTAGGGGCTGGAGAGATGGCTCAGCAGTTAAGAGCACCGGCTGCTTTTGCAAAGGACTGGGATTCAATTCCCAGCACCCACATGGCAGTTCCGGAGAATCTGGCACCCTCACACAGATGTACATGCAGGCAAAACACCAAGGCACATAAAATGAAAATAAACCATTTAAAACGTTTTTTAGAGACTTATTTATTTTATACAGGCAGTGTGTGAGCCACCCAAGGTGGGTTTTAGGACTTGAACTCAGGTCCTGTGCAAGAGCAGCATGTGCTCTTAACCACTGAGCCCTCCCTCATCCAGCCTCCTGAGGCATCAGCTGAGATGATGGCTGGAGCCAGAGAAGCTAGAGCTTGGCTGGGACTTCCCCTCTGCTTCCCACCTCCATGGTGGTCTGAGCTTCCTTCCTGCATGGTGACCTCAAGATGGCTAACACCATGACAGCTCAGCGTTCCAAGTGACCAAGGTGAAGCGCTCTCGAAAGCGGAACCGCTGGCTGTGGGCCAAGGCAGACCAGCAATGTCAAGACCGGCTCTAATGTTCCACAGCTGCCTTTTGAAGAGGCAAAACCCTTCCTTCCTTCCATCCTTCTTTTCCCCCTTCTGTTTAATTTTGACAGAGTCTTAATGTGTGTGTTTTTTTTTTTTTTTTTTTTTTTGAGACAGGGTTTCTCTGTGTAGCTTTGGAGCCTGCCCTGGAACTCACGCTGTAGACCAGGCTGGCCTCAAACTCCCAGAGACCCACCTGCCTCTTCCTCCCGAGTGCTGGAGTTAAAGGTGTGCTCCACCACCGCCAGAATCTTACTGTGTAGCTCACGCTGACCTCGAACTCTCGATCCCCCACCGCAGTTTCCAGAGCACTGGGATTACCGGCAGGCACCACCAGCTAACCTTCAACTACAGACATTTAAATTGTATTATTGTTGTTGTTGTTAGTGTGTGTGTGTGTGCATGACATGTGTGTGTGTGGGGGGCACATGTTCCACGGCACAAATGTATAGAAGTCATAAGACCAACTTTTCAGAGCTAGCTCATTCTCTCTTTCTACCCTCTGGCGGTGGTCCAAGGATTGAACACTGGTCACAAAGTTTTCAAGATAAGCACCTTTACCTGACCAGCTACCTTGCCAGCCCCTCTTAAGGTATACCCCTGTCTCTGTTCCCCACCTCTATGAACCCACACGTCTGTCTGTCTGTCTGTCTGTCTGTCTGTCTGTCTGTCTCTACATCCATCCATCTAAAGAGTATGAGTGTTTTGCCTGTGGCCTGTGTATATGTCTGTGTACCACATGGGTGCCTGGTCGCTGAAAAGACCAGATAGAGGGTGTCAGACTGCCTGGAACCGTGGAACAGATGGTTGTGAGTTGTCACGTGTGCGTGCTGGAAATCAAACCCAGGTCCTCTGGGAGAGCAGCCTGTGCTCTTAACGACTGAGCCAACTCACCCCTCCCCCGAAAGCAAGCTATCCTTAATGAATTTATTAGGCAAGTGTTTCTGGTCTGGCCCCAAATTGTTTCTTGTTTTACAATTTGGGGTGCTCAAGAGCCCCATCGGTTTGAGCAACTGAAATGACAGCCTACAACCTCTAACAGTGCTCCGTGGAACGAGAGCCCAGGGCAAAGGGCATGTGTGCTCCAGTCCCCACAGCGCCTCAGAACCCACGACTGAGCGCTGTTCCACCAATGAGTGATAAGCCCGTTACACAGGCCCCTGAGGACCCAGATGACCTGGACGGACCGGCAGTTTGGTCAGAGGCACCCACCACCATCATGTTCCTTTTCTAATTGTTCCTGCGGCGAACACCCTGGCCAAAGACAAAGGTTTCTTCTAACCCGGGAACTGCCCTGGTTTCTGTCTAGGTTACTGCAGAGGTTGCTGGCCTGAGTGGGAGCTGACAGCCTTGGAGATGCTACAGGGTGGGGTTGGGGTCCTCAGGCTCCGCCCAGAGGCCTGAGCAAGGGAGGGGTGCTTTCTCCAGAGAACACAGTCAGCGACAATGTCTTCCAACAGCTGCAGATGGCCAGAGAGGCAAGAAAGTCATTTCTTTAGCTGCGTCCCCTGGGGCCAGCCCACACTCTGATCCCTAGCCAGGAGCACATGCTGACCGGACTGCTGGACTGTCCTCCAGGGCTCCAGGCGTCTGTGAACAGACAAGCGGAGGGCACCTGCGCAGAACCCCTTCTACCCTGCTCACTACCATCGCGACCTTCAAAGCCTGGAGCAGCAGTCCTCAACCTGTGAGGAGTAAGATTACAGTTATGACGTAGCAACAGTCATGAGGAACTGTATTAAAGGGTCTCAGTATTAGGAAGGTTGACAACCACTGACCTATAGGCAGAAAAGGGTGTTTTAACCTCAAGAGATAGAGTAGGAACCTTCAACCCGCACACACAGCATAGGAAGAAACTCTCACCACCTCATGCGTCAGGAGCAGTTGGGCGTCTATTAGAAAGTGGTTTGGACTCAAAGAGGAAATACAGTGGTTTTTGTTTTTTGTTTGGAGGAAACTGAAGGAAGCTGAGAGGCAAAAGGAAGAAGTTGGCAGCTGATCCAGGCATCCAGGGCCAAGTAGTGAGGGGACACTGTGATTCAGCAAGCCTAGGGCAGGGTGGCCCTCCTGGGGTCTGAGGACCCTGGGAGAACATCTTATAGGCTATCAAGAATGTGTGCCCCAGGCTGGTGTAGGGAAATGGAGCTTAGGAGGCTGGAGACAGACCTCTCCCCAACTTTTAGAGGTGGGACAATATGTTTGGGGCAGGGTGGACTCCAGGGGCAGCCCTGAGATAATCTCTATAGGGACAGCCTGTGAAGACCACCCAGGGTCACTGAGACAGTAGCAGGGCTCCTTTAACACATGTCAAAGCCGGAGAGGTCTAGCCAGAGTGAATGCAGAGAAACTCAGTCTGGGGTAAGACTGGCCTCTGACTCTCGCCTCTGCCGTCTCAGGCCTCAGTTTGCCCAGCTGTCAAAGGGGAAACACATGCGATGTCACCTATTGTAACATTCCCCCCTCACAACCCGAGAAGGCTCTTTGAGCCAAGGAATAGAGCTTGGGTCTGCCATGGTGCTCTTTGCCGCTCCCTCCCTTATCTGCCTTGTGTCCACGTTCTGCTTTCCCCCCACGGCTCTCTGGAAGACACACATCCTCGACAGGTTGGTTCCAGACTAGAATGTTTTATTCAAGAGAATCTGGCTTGGCAGTTAGACAGCTGGTGGGCTGCGGGGGCCCTCCAGGAATCTGCTTGCACTCTGTCGCCATAACACTAGGACACATGCCCCTGACTTGCAGCTGTGAAAGTTCACCAACCTATGGGGCTATTACCCTTCATCCAGCCTGCCCTCTGTTCAGCCCCGAGCCACTCTGTCTGTGTCCCAGACAGGGTGGTGGGGCTTTGCAAGGGCGAAGGGAACTTCTAGGCAAGGCCCACAGGCAAGCTCAGTTCTCTAGAGCCAAATGTCTTGTCCTGGTCTCCAGGGTAAACAGTTGATTCCAGCAGCAGGAGACCATGGTTGGATCCCCGCTACATGTCTTCAGTACAGCCAGGGCCACAGCTGCTTGTCTGGGTCGAGTTGGGAACCAGGACAGAGCCTTAGGGGCCTGGCTTGCCCCTTGCAAGGCCATGTCCATGTCTTGCTTCTTCCCAAGCGGAAGCCCCCACGGAACGGCGGCTGGCTTCTTTGTTTCTCTCACGTTTTGTTTAAGGCACTGAATTCCTGAGGGTCCTGTTCTTCTATGCCCCTTATCTTGGAGGGAGCGAGTCATTCAGCAGGGACGAGTTGGCTAATAAATAGAGGGTAGGTACCAGCAGGGAGAGATTTGAGAGGGCGTAATAAATATATGAGCTGGGTGTGGGGGTCTCTCCTCTGAGGAGCTGGTCACCTCCGGGGAACAGCATCACCATACCTGTCAGAAGCCAAACACAGACTAGTCAGGGAGATCAGGACACAGTGGAGGATGCGGCCCCTTCTACAGAGGATGCAGAGGGTCAGGAGCAGCAGGAAGAAGCAGCACCCTGGAACCCTGCTCACACCCAGGCCAGCAAGCAGCCACCACCCTCTCCAGGCTCTTGCTCAGTTTCCTGGCTTCCTGCCTGCCAAGTACTGCCTCACGCAGCCTTCACAACACCCCACACCGTGTCACTCGCTTACAAATGAGGAGTTGTGGTTCAGAGAGTTTAAGAAACTTGCTTAAGATCACAAACTGTTAGGTGACAGAGACATCTGAAGTCAACCTGGCATCGTGTAACAGTGTCGCTGGTAACCCCAAGACGCTAAACTTCAGACAAACGTTCCCAAAGACTGAGAACTGGTGACAGTGGTTTCATTGTTAGCGTTATTTGTTTGTTTGTTTGTTTCGAGCTCGGTTTCTCTGTGCAACAGCCCTGGCTGTCCTGGAACTCGCTCCGTAGACCAGGCTGGCCTCGAACTCACAGAGATCTGTCTGCACTGCTTCCCAGGTGCTGGGAATAGAGGTGCCCAGCCTGTTTGCATTATTTTATTATATGTTTTGAAGCACTGGGAATGGAACTTAGGGTCTTACACAAGATAGGCAAGTTCCTTCCTGCTACACTACATCCCTACTCCCAAAACTGGTGCTTTTTTCAGAACTCAGTTTTCAGCTTTATTGGATACTCCACTTTAACTTTGTGTGAGGAAGTGCCCGAGGCTTCCTGTCCTAACTACAGTCATACTTTCCCCTTAAGGAGGGATAGGTCCTCTAAACCCAACTGTTCGTTAATATGATTTTAAAAGTTAAAAAAAGGAAGAAAGAAAAAGAAGGGAAAATTCACAGTGGCAGTGGCACATGTCTGTAATCCTAGAACCTGGGGGGCTAAGGCAGGAGGATTGCTACAAGTCTGAAGTCAACTTGGGCTACATAGCATCCTAAAACAACCCTGCAAATGCTCATGGCCAATGAGAAACACACGAGCTTTTGAAATTCTTTTGGGAAACACAGGAATGAGACACCCGGAAAAGCCATGTCCTCCTCTTCCAGCTACGCTGTAGTCTGGTACTCCAGCCTGCTGCCCAAGGATGGGCAAGGAACAGAGAGGAGAGAGGAAGGGACCCAAAGTCAGAGACACTGGCCAGGGAACCCGAGGCGGGCGGCACTGCAGAAGTGGCCAGCTACCCAAAAGCGGCCAGCTGTGTAGCAGAAGGTAGGCATTGGAAGAGCAAGCAATGTGGCTGTCACCCACGTGCCTGGCACATAGTTTGCAGAATAGCCTAAGTGCTTGCTGTGATGCTTGTCCCATCATTTTACAAGGGAAGTGATTTGTTTAAGGCCACACATAGATAAGGGATGGGAAGTAAGGTCCCTTGGTGCACCTTAGACCTTAAAGGATACACATTCCCTGTTCTGACCCCGAGGTCTCTCATCCCAGCTTTACCTCGCCCCTCCCTGACCACTGACCCTTGCTGCCTGGGCAGCCCCTGCCCCTTAGGCCCAGCCTTTCTGCCAGCCCCGGGCCCCCAGCACACTCACAGGTGGCGTTCCTCAGTCTGTGGGCTTCTGTTTCTCTCTCTTCCTCTTCCCCTTGATTTTTCTCCTGCAACAAGCGAAACATCAGCACCACGAGCTGGGGCTCCTCATGCTAGGACAGGGGCTGGCAGGTCCCACATTCACCGGGAGCCCCCCTCAGTAAGCTTACCTTTCTGCCTTTGTCTTCTCCTGGATAGGCCTAGGGAAACAAAAGGAGGTGCAGAAGAGAAGAGTTAGGCCGGCTCTCCCCACTTCCCACAGTTCCTAAGTCCTGGTAACGCTGATGCAGCAGTGCCACTAGAGGGCGGCACAGAGCTGGAGAAAAAGGCGGCAGAGGCCCCTGTGCTGGGCTCCTGCCCTACCTAGGTCCTGGCAACCTCCAGAGGGGTCAGAGTTCCCCCTGGGGGCTCTTCATCACATGTTTCTGCTCGCCCTAGCCTCTTGGCATCAAATCTGGGACCCGTTTTCTGCTATTTTGCTTTCTTTTCATTTTCCCTCTTTTCTTCCAGGGTGCATTCTGGGAGTTCCCTCAAGGAAAGTAAATGATGGACAAGACCGCGGACAGCAGGGCAATGGTGGTCACCAACTTAGGCTGCCTGCCTGGGCTCAACCCCCGCCCCGCCGTGGCAACAGCAAGGAGCCTGCTTCACAGTCACCAGGCATGTCCCAGCTCTGCCTTCTGGGGCCGTGGCTGTTGTCCCAGAAGTGAGAAGAAAGGTGTCCCTGTTGCCTGGCCTGATGGAAGGGGATAGCTTCAGTATTTCCCAGGGACAGTGTTGCGGATGGGAGGGGCGGCAGGGGCCCCAAGTGTGTGCTGTTCTGGGCTGGCCCACTTTCCCCAGTCATACCTGGCCCTCAGAGTGCCCGGGAGGGCACGCATGTCAGAGAAGGTGAGGGACGCCACTCAGCCACTTGGTGGAATGCGTGTGTGTGGGGTGGCTCATGACTGAGCTATTGTTACCTCACTGGAAGTGAACAGGTTGAGTCAAGGTGCCCAACATTGGCACAGTGGAGAGGGCCTGGAGCCAGGGCTCAGGTTTAAAGAGGGCAGCCAGAGTAGTCCTGGGCGCTAGGCAGGCGCCAGGCAGAGGAGCTAGCACTGGGACCATGGCAGACACGGTGACTGCCAAGAAAGGGGCATGGAAAATGCAGCTGCAGGGGTGAGACAGGCCGAGCCTAAGCCTAGATCCCTCTTCCACACTAGCTGAGCAGCTCACAGAACCGCACCGAGCAAGCGGGGCTTCCTCCACGATGCGGACGAGGTGGCCACCAGGGCGCGAACCTCGCCTATCTTGTTCACCGCCGTATCCCAAGCACCTAGGCCAGTGAATGGCACGGAGTGGGCGCTGAATAAACACGCGTGAGAGGTGGTTGTCCTCCCTTTCCTTCAGCCCCAGACTGGGCCCCACACCCCTAATCTGGTGCCCGTGTCCAAAGAGCAGCATCAAACCCATCTCATCCCTCCTGAACCAAACGGCATGGCAGGCTGCTGTTCCCAGTAACAAATGTTCCAAGAACCTGGGGGACAATAGCAAGGCTGAGCACTGGCCAGAGCTCACCGGGGACAGTTAGCAGTGTGCTGCAACTCTAAAGCCACGGCTGGCTGTTCCTCCTTTTTCTGGTCCCTTTCCTTCTCCGAGGGTCTCATTCTGCCCTCTTTTCAGCACAGTTTGCCCCCTCCCGCGGGCAGGCAGCCCGGTCCAGAATCAAGTACAGGCTTGTGATGCCTCTGTATGCACCAAATCCCCAGGCCTGTGGCAGGTGCTGCTCATCTCAGAGGATGGAGGTATGACATGCATGGTGCCCTGAAAGTCTAGGAGAGCCTCGGCCTTCCCTCCCTACTGTGGTAACTCGGCAGCTGGATCCTGAAAGTCTAGGAGAGCCTCGGCCTTCCCTCCCTACTGTGGTAACTCGGCAGCTGGATCCTGAAAGTCTAGGAGAGCCTCGGCCTTCCCTCCCTACTGTGGTAACTCGGCAGCTGGATCCTGAAAGTCCTGTACTGCAGCTGCCGAGGCCAGCTCCTAGGCCAAGTTGGCTGGTAGGGTGTAGAAAAACGGAAAGGCTTCTCCCCAGGGCCACTTGCTCAGGGAAACAAACACAGCTTGCAGCAGGGGTGGCAGCCCCTCTTCTGCCCCAAAGGCAGTGTGAGGATTTGCTGAGGCTTAGGATTTGCTAAGTGTACAGTCTGTCCCTGCTGCCCACCCAGGACCTACCTGCATTCGCAGAGTACATCCTGAGAGAATGTCATCTCCACATAGGAATGCTGGTCCCCAGTGGCGGGGATCTTCAAGATCTGCGGGAAGTCAAAAGTTGGTAACCAGGAAGGCGCCAGTGAAGGGCTCAGAGCCCGGATGGGAGCTCGAGAAGACAGGCCCTGTGCTGGGAGTTGGCTCCCATTGCAGGGCCCTGGCCTGCCTCTGTCCCGCCCTGGATGAGATTCCGTGGGCTCTGGATGTGGTGTGGGCCACGGCAGGTGGGGACGGGTCTGGGGAGCTTCCTACCTGCATGGTGATGTTGGCTGTCTTCAGTGGCACACACTGCAGGCTCTCATCACCGCAGCAGCCGGTACAGCGAGTCAGGAGGACACAGGATGGGCTGAATATGTGTGCCACCTCATCAGGATACTCGTCCACGATCTCCACCAGCTTCTCCATCGGCCGGCAGTAGCTGCGGCCCCACACTTCACTGAAGGGCACCACTGTCGGGAGGCAGAAGACCAGACCCGGTTAGCAGGCAGCAGCTCCTTGACGTCCCAGCCTTGGCTTCTGGTTCTACTTGCAGGAAGTACAGCTCTTCCATGAAGCCCCTGGCCCTCTGTGGGGTCCCTCTGCTCTAGACTATTGCTGCCATCACTCTGGGGTGCCTATTGACCCCTTAGCTCTTTGGGGCTCAAATTCCAATGGAGCAGACTCTCTCAAGTTCTCATTCTGTTTTTCTCTCTGGTTCCAAGTCTTCCTTGGAGCTTTGAGGACTATGCCCTGGCCACGCCTCAAGCCTCTGGGTCCTTCTCCAGTACGATCCGGTGCTTCCTAGGCCTTAAGGAACTTGCTGAAACAGTTCTACCAAGAAGGGCTAGCCTCCCCTTGCTCTCTGGCCCGACCCCATTATAACTTCCTCATGTGCCACTTGAAATCACTCCTCCGCAGCCAAGAGCACACCTAGCCACGTGGTCCAGCTCCTGTCTATGCGGTCCGGGGGGGGGTCTGTAGCGCCCACTCCTGTCCTCCAGTCATTCTACAGCAGCAGTGCTCCTCTCTGGAGCATAGCTTGGGTCCCCAGCTTGCACCCTCCCTACCATCACTGGTGCTTCTTAGCTCCTCCCCAGTCAAATTGAGCAGGAGCTGACCCCCCCTCCCATAAACACAGGCTAAGTGACTGCTGACTGATTGAGCAGGAGCTGCCCCCCAGTAAACACAGGCTAAGTGACTGCTGGCTGATGAGGTGACAGCTCACAGAGGATTACCAGGAGCATTCCTACCCCTGTGATGTCCTGGTGGTGGTGGCGGTGGTGGTGGTATCTCTAGGGGACGGATCTGGAATCTCTCTAAAGATGTTGTCCCTTCAAGGGGTAGCCTGGTACCAGGGCTCCAGTGCAGGCAGGCTCTCAGGGAGCAGCCAAAGCCAGGCCATGTGACTGCAGTCCCTATACTGACTGTATGACCTTGGGGAGGTCATTTAGCCATTCCAGGTATATCAGTTTCCTGTGTTTGAGAGAGAGAAGCAGCCCGGGAATAGATGGTTGCTAAGGTCACATACGCCCTGACAGACTGTCTGGATTCAGTGCCCTGGAATGCAGCCCTGGTCAGCCTTGAGATCAGGCCTGGATCAGCCTGCCCCACATCTGATGACCATCCTCAGCTCATGAGAGACTTGGGACCTGGGTCACCTACAAGTTGGCCTTAACAGAGCTCGGTGGCCTTTCCCAGCAGACCCTCGCTTCCGTGGGTCCTTCCTAGGAGGCAGAGGGGGCCAAAGTCCATCCCACAGATCCTGTGAGGATGTGTGGCTCCGGGTAATCTCGGAAGAAAAATAAACTTCAGACATAGCAGAGGCCCTCGGGAAAGGCTGCAAGCTGGTGGAAAATACCCAAGAGGCAGTTTGTCCATGTGGAGCTGGCCGGGCAGCCGCCGAGGCAATAAACTGTACTTATCTGGGCGCCTGGTGTTCCATCCTACACTGCCCTGCTTTGAAGACACTTGGGCTAGACCAGGGGCTGGAGGGGGATGTGGGGACGCTCTGACTCTACTTTTTCAGGCTACTGGACACTCTCCCTGGACCCAAGTGGAGAAACAAGTCCTGTCTCCTCAGAGGCAGCCCCTGAGTTCAGGGAAAGCCTGCCTTTGCAACGTGGGTCACAGGCCACCTCCCTCTGGCCAGCATCGTGAGCTTCGTGTTTAGTCTAAAACCCTCTTGAGTACTACACCACTACGAACATTTAATCTCTGCCGTGGAAACGTAAATAAGGGGAAGAAGCAGTTGGCTGCACAAAGATTTCAGTCACTGGGCAGGGACAGCAGCAGAGGGAGCCTACCCTCTACCACATCCTATCATTTGGGTTCCAGGCCCCCCAAACCTGAGACATATTTCTTAGTGGCCTAGAAAGGCTGAGAGAGAGCTGAGCTGAGGCCTGGTTTACCTGGAAGCTCTAAGAAATTTTAAGTTCATCCCTGGAGGCTCCCTGTCTGGGTGTGCAGGAAAAGCAGAGGCCTGGTGAGAGGCAGGTAGGGAAAGCGCAGACGTCAGTTGCTCCCAGATGCGTGGGGTGCCCCTCAGGAAAGAGTTGTGCTCCGTCACTCCCAAGAGCCCTTCCACTAACCCCAAAACTGCTCTGGACAGGAAGTGGGTAGTGAGGGGAACGGGAGGCTCCTCCTGCTGGGATGGGGCCCTCCTCTGAGAGCCTCTTTTGGGGCCAGAAAGGGCTCCTCAGCTACCTGTCCAGCCCTGTGAGCGGGCAGCCGTCTGTCCCCAGGGGCATCGTATCTAGAATGGAAGAACTCCAAGAACACTGTCTAGGCCTGATGGCAAGCTTCTGGAAAGGTCTCTGCAGTAGCCACTGGCCACCAGCCGGAGCCTAGCTGGTGTCCTCCTCACTGGCAGGGCAGCCGGCCAGCCTGCCACAAGGGACACTCCACTCATGCCTGCTCAGCGCCTGCACGGCTGGGAGGTCTGGGGCTGAGTATGCTGGCTCTGCCAGCGACACTGAAGACTGCCTGGAGCTTTGGCTGATCCCTGGGGCCTCTCTGAGCCTCAGACTCTTCACCTGTGAAACACTGGTACCTTCCTACCGCACAGCCTATGGTCAGGCCAAGTAACAGGACACACCCACCGCTGGGACCCGAAAGAGCAGAGGTGGAAATCAGCGCCCACGGCTGCACTGTGTTGACTCTGCCTCTGGTGTTGTTAGTGGGAGGGGATAGTAATGTCAGATTTTAACAGCTGATGTTTCCTTGGCCACAAGGCATTACAGGTGAGCTGACCTACACTCGGAAGTATGTACACTCATGTCTCTTCTAAGGACTCAGCGTCTTACAGCCTTGGGAAAAGAGTCTTTGATATTAAGCTCTTATCTAACTCTCCCATTTCACAGGTGAGGAAACAGAGGCTGAGACCTCTTTGGAAGTGGATGCCTGATCTACATACAAAGACCATCAATAAAGGACATGATGTTGGGGTGGACGGGGAGGCCCTCCTCAAACCCCAGAGAGAATGACACTGTGCCAATTCCAGAGAGTTCAGAAACTAGGCAAGCCCACGAATCGAGGAAGCTGCCTCTCTCACCCATTCAGCGGTCCTGGCTTCAGGTGTGAGAGCATGGACGGGCAGGGGACAGGGTGCTCCCAAGGGGCTGGTGGATAGCCAAGTGGGCAGGCCAGCAGAGGGTCTTCCCAGCCCAAGACAACAATCCAGCTGTTATCTGTGTGAGAACATCCTACAAATACACCCCTTCTCCCACGGTGCTGCTGGAAGTGGCCATCCTCCACGCCTCAGGGAGGCAGGAAGGGAGAAGGAGGAAGGACCTGGCATGAGCTCCTTGCCTTCTGCGTGCATGTCTCTTTGGCAAAGGTCCTACTGCCCTTTGAAGATTATGTCTTGACACAACCCAGGGCAGAGAGTGAAAGGGCCAGGGAGGGTGTGACACAGCCCGCCTGTTTGTAATCAATGGAAAGGCCTGGGCAGAGCCTCACAGCTCCACAGGGTTGGGAGACTCTGGAGGACTCTTCGTCCTGACCAAGCCCCTTGACTGCTCGCCTACTACATCCAACTCCGAAGCTCCAGTCTGGCCTCTGGCACTCAACACCAGCCCCATCCACTAAGACTCCATCTGCACCCTTACAGCATGCTGGGCAGGGGTCCGAGCCAGCTGGATGAACTCTGTCTATCCTGTGCTTCTTTCTCTCTGTGTGTGTGGTGACGCTAACCCAGGACCACACCTCTCTAGGTTGCTGGGTCCCGAGAGGCGGACGCCTGGGCTTCAGACAGCATGTCTAGCTTGCAGACCCTCCCCAGCTTACGGCTGGCCTGCTCCCACCCTTCAGACCAATCCCTTCACTGGGGGGACCCCTTAGGAAAGAAGAGAGGGGCTCAGCTTGCATAGCCGGCCTGGCTGACTTACCTGCCACTTCAGTTGAGTTGTTGCCAGCAGACAGGGTCCCCTGCGGAGGACACAAAGGTGCAGGCATGAGGAAGGAGCCTCTCCTTGGGGGCTCTGCTCTTTGAGCCCACCCTGAGCTCCTCCCCACTCCCTGCACACACTCCTCTCTGTCACAGAGCTGTCTCTTGCTTTGTGCCACTAAAAACCACCTGACTCCCCGGCCTCAAGTCTCTTCGTTCGGAAAAGGGCAGGAGACTAGAGGTTTGGGGAGGCTTCTCGTGTTCCAAAGCACTTATAATCCTGTGGGGTCTCTCTTCTACCCAGCCCCCAGGCCAGCCCTGCTGGGCCTTCTACAGCCCGCCTTGGCTGGGTGCCAGAGCCCAGGGGGAGGTGGTGATCAGCTGGTGGGGAACTCAGGGGCTGGAGCAGGCGGCGCCATGAGCTGGTGTTGCCTGCCAGTAACGTTACACCTCTGGCTAACACTGCAGCGAGCAGCCGATGGTCTCGCTGCTCAGCAAAGGGACTGGACAACCCATGCGCCGCTGGGCTGGAGCTGAGGACTCCCGGGGCAGCGGGCAGTGCAGGGGCAGCGCAGCAGGACGGGAATGCATTGGCTTTGTCAGGATTTTGCTGCCCAATCTGGCTCCCAGCCAGACTCACCCAGCTCCTGGGAAAAGGGCCGTGCTCACTTCCCCAGGCCCTGCACTCAGGACCTTCTGCCACCCACCAGGAGGAAAGGGCATGGCAAGATCGCTCGTCATATCTGAAGCCCACCCAGGATCCTTTCGCTCAGCTGGTGGGGGAAGGGCCTCACCTCCCCACCGCAAACTTCTTTAGCCAGCGTCTTCCCCACTAGGCCAGGTCAGAGGTCCTGGGGGCGCCTGGTTGGTCATGGGGCCTCAACCCTGACCACAAGGCCAGGGCACTGGCTGGGATTAGTGGACGGATGCTTTTAGCAAAGCCACTTGGGCTCCAGGGGCCAGACAGGAAACCTCCCTCATTCCCTGTGGCTTCCCTGCCCCCACTAAGACAGCCCCCAGGAGTTGGGGACTGCCTAGCCAGAGTTCTCCTCCCTGAGGTCCAGACCAGCCCCTGGGAAACATGTGGACATCCCCTGGGAACTGCTTTCTGGAGTGGGTCTGTAATTTCAGACCATCTCCCCCGTTGCTATGGCTGGGATGAGAAGGTCAAGAGAAGCCAGGTCAGGTCCTTACCTGGGAATGCACAGCCAACCCAGCTAGGACTTGCAAGAAGCAAGTGAACAGCTTCATGGCCAACATCTTATCAGACGTCCAGAGACAGGATTCTTCAAGGAACAATCACCATGCTCGTCCCGCTGATATGGGAGGAGAGCTGTGAGGGACTCGGTGTCTCACTGACTGCGGTCTTAGGTCTCCGTCAGCGTGAGCATCCACTGGAAGCCTAGGAAGTCCGGAGCTCACAGGTAAGGCTGTGACTGAGGATACTGGTCAGGAGTTAGCCCGGAGAGTCCGATCGGCGTGAAAGGGTCTTGGGCGTCCGGTGACCCTAGCTCCTCTCGTGGCTGAGTAGAAAGTCTGAAGATGCAGTTTCCTGCTCAGACCGCAGCTCCCCTATGAACAGAAGCTAGTCGGCCGCTGGTTTTCAAGGCTGTGCGTGGGGCGTGGCTGCAGCCTACCCCGCCCACTAAGCCCGGAGGCCCCAGGAGCGGCCCCGGAGCGCTGAGAGCCGGGTTGGCGGTGAGACCTGAGTGCGCGTGACCCCGCAGGGCACGGAAGGGGCGCTGCCTGCGCAAATCGCCAGTCCCCATCCGAGCCTGGCGCTAGCTTGCTCCGGAATCAGCCAGCCGCGACGGCCAGGGTTGCACCTGGCTCTCCTGGTGCCACCTTCGGTGGGAACCTTCAGGTGCTGACGTCTAACATCTGCCATGGAGATGGCTGGGTACTTTAAGAAGGCAGCATCTTTCTCATGATCAGTACATGCCATGCCTGCGACTCCGCGGGGGAAGGGGGCGTGAAAGGATTACTAACCCCGTTTTATAGACTAAGAACCTGGTCTATAAGAGGACTCCACCTGCAAATGCTGAACAATGTTCATATTCACACTAGGAAAGTGTGTGTGTGCCCGCGGGCATCTGCCTGCGTGGACAGGGATCTGGCAGAGAAAGCAAGCAAGCTACGTGCCTCCAGAACCGTCCTTCTATTCTATCCACTACCTGAACTTCCGTGGGCACAGGGCAGCCCAGCTGTGGGCAGCTCACAGGAAACACCCAGGGCACCCGGCTAGACGTAGCTCCAGCACCACTTCCTCCTGTCAGGCCAGGCCAATAAGGGCAGGGAATGAAATTAGCCTGGTATCACCTCCTGAGCCCAAGCAGAGGAGGAAGTGTTAAGAGCAGCAGGGATGTGCTGAAAGGAGCCAGCGTCTTCACGGGCATTTGTGTGCAACCATGAAACTGTGTGCATGTTACCCACTGAACATCCCATATGACTCTGTGTGTCGCAGATCTCTGTGTATCTGTATGATTGTGTGTGTGGTGTGTGTGGTGTGGCCCTGAAGATGTTTGATGTTTAGAAGTGTGTCTGTGAGTGTGTTTTGATGGGATAGTGAGTGTGTACCTGCCAATGTGTGTCCTGTGTGTGTGTCAATCCCTGGGCATCAAGGTGTGACCATGCATGTCTGGGATTTCATGGTAATCTCCTTTGCTCTCCCATCGTTCTACATGACTACCACCCTCACAAACCTCTGTGACTACTAGCTTGTAGACCGCAAAAACCTGGCAGGGTTCAGAGTCAGAAGTTGGTGGGTGGCTGTGGGGGAGGAGATGGGCCTGGGAGGTGGCTTTGGGATCACATTCCATTCAGAGGCAGGAGGCCAGGGCAGTCCTGGATCTCACCCCCAGTGACCTCTGCGTCTGTGGCTCGCTGCCCACCCACGAGGGGCTGCCAGAGATGCTGCCTCTCTGTCTGGCAGGCTCTGAGCCCAGGAGCCAGGGGCCAGCCACTGGCCAGCTAAGCGGGGGCTGCAGAGAACATTCTGACAAGCTCCAACATGCTGGGACTGTACATCAGGCAGACTGTCTCCCTGGCTCCCGAGCACGGTGCAGGGTCACTGTGCGTGTGGATGCTGCTGCAGACAGTTGTGAGATGCACTCGCTCACAACATCTTGTGTTCCCACAGGCATCTACGTGGGTCTGTTCCCGATGGATTTGTGGATGTGGGCACACGTGTGTATGCTGCACCAGTGGGTACCCTTTAAACTTTTTTTTTAGTATTTATTTTCGTGCGTGTGTTGGTATGGTGCACATGTGGGTGGGAGTGGTCAGAGAACCACCTTCTGATGTTGGGTGGCTCTCTCCCTCCACCATGTGCAGCTTCCTGAGATCAAACTCAGGTTGTCAGGCTTGCTGGCAAGTGCTCTTGTCTGTTGATGCTTGTCACCAGCCCAGGTGTGGTTTTCTAGATTAATTTATTTATTATGTATACAGCTTTCTGTCTTTCTGTCTGCATGTTTGCCTACAGGCCAGAAGAGGGCACCAGATCTCATTGTAGATGGTTGTGAGCCACCATGTGGTTGCTAGGAATTGAACTCAGTTCCTCTGGAAGAGCTGCCAGGGCTCTTAACCGCTGAGCCATCCCTCCAGCTGCGTTATATATGCTTGCCTATGTATCTCAAGCACTCACGGATTGAGCATATTTGCCTGTAATTGTGCTTAAATAGGGATGTGTACATTGTGTGTGCATGTGTTTGCTCACAAATTATTTCATTCGACATGTAGTGCTTTAGCCCTGTTGAGCTATAGGCTTTGGGGATTCGGTACGGACGACCCTTCCACATTTCCACCCCCGGAAGATGACTGTGAATGCTGAAGTGCTCCTCTTCGTTCCTGCATGAACTTGACTCCTTGGATAAAGTCTGGATTCCCTACAGGTGCTCCCCCCCCCATCTCTTGTCCCTAAACCTCAGACCCTTCTAAATGCGGCTTTCTGGGTAAGGTGGCAGGAACCAGGAAGATGCCAAGACCTCCACAGCTTAAAGATCCCCACCTCCTTCAGGGAGGTGGACTGGTATCTCCGCCTCCATGCACTGTGGCCCTGCTTCTGGAGAGTGCGTAACTAACTTCAAACCACAGCTTTCATCTTCTAAGTCCATTCCTTCCACCTGCAAAGTGGGAATGATGCCAGCGCTTACTCAATAGGGTCATGGAGAACTGCAAAGGCGCAGTGTGTGTGTGTGTGTGTGTGTGTGTGTGTGTGTGTGTGTGTGTGTGTTGCTAATGGTAGTTCTTGGGCATGGTCTCTAACTCAATTTTGTGTTCTTACTAGAGAAATAGAAATGCTGTAGTCATAGCCCAGAGTCTTTCAGAGCACAGACAAGACAAAAGGAAAATAAAGAAGCCATCTTCTGCCAGTTTCAGAAGAGCAAATGGATAGAGAAATTTGACACACTAAAGCACACACATGTACACACAACCATTCTGTCTGTCACAATCCAGTGCCCCCGCCCTCCACCCAATCTTGGCACCCACTGCCACTGAGATCTTCTGAGTAGACCCATCTGCTAAGGGCTGGCACAACCCCATAAAGTAGGTCTTAGTTACTCCCACCCCTTACGTTGTCCTGGTGGTGCTGAAGACAGTTAGTGTGTAGGAGGAGGAAGGTCTTAGTCTGAGGAGCTAACCCTCCCAGGGTGCTGGGCGAATGTGTGTCAACATTCGGGGCCAGGCAACATGGATTCCCCAAATCACAAGCCAGTCCCTGCCCACCCCCAGCATAGGGCTGCCCACCCTAGTCCTTCTCTGAAATGCCTGTCCTATCCCACCCCCACTTTTTGCCATAAAGCTTCCCAATTCAGCTAAACTTGGGAGTGCTGGTTTTTCATTCCAATACTAGGTAGACTGAGGCAGGGGGATAGCAAGCGAGGCCATCTGGGCTACACAGTGGGGCACTGTCTCAAGCAAACACCTCTTTGACTTGCTTTCTCATTTGGTTCTAGAATTCTCTATGCCGTGACCATTTGAACCTTTGCTCCACTGTGGCCTCTCTTTCCTGATAGTGACAGTTCAGCTCTGCCTGGGGAAGGTGTCATGACATCCCAGGAAGCGCTCCTTGTCCTCCTGCTCCTGGGCCACCCGCCTCTAACCTTTCCCGAGGCCTATTCCACACACCATCCCACAGCTTCCTTCCTAGATAGATGATACTTCCCTCAGAGGTGACAGATGGCCTGGGAAATGCTCCTTGTCCTCTGCTCCTGGGCCACCTGCCTCTAACCTTTCCTGAGACCTATGCCACACACCATCCCACAGCTTCCTTCCTAGATAATACTTCCCTCAGGGGTGACATGATGGCCCAGGACACGCTCCTTGTCCTCCTGCTCCTGGGTCACCCAGCTCTAACCGAGAACCCTTTTCCCGAGGCCTCTTCCAAGCCTCATTCGGGTTACACAGCACCTGGATTGCCTCTTCATAGTGGCACCCAACCCCAGTGCTGTCACTGTCCTGTCATGCATCTGCTTGCCTCAAAGACCATAAGATTCGTCAGAGCAAATGGGGTCTGTTGTATGTCCGTGTTTCTCTGGCATCTCGCTCAGTAGTGGAGCATACATACAGTAGGGGCTTAATCAGTGTGAGCCAGCCCAACTCTCCAAGGCTCCTCATCCTCCCCAGTTTGCCAAGGGATCGGCTCCTACAGTGTGCTCAAGGCACTTCACTGTGGGTAAGTGTCTCTGGACCAGGGGCAAGCGTGGGAGCGTCATCTCCCATTACTGTACAATCATGTCCTGTCTAGGGGACAAGGCTCCTGCCTTTAGCCAGAGCCCAAAGCCTGGGGTGGGGCCGAATAGAAGGGGGGCCAGAGATGAACCCATGGGTGACCAAAGGGTTCCCAGAGTGGGAAGCAAGATGGCACCCACCGCAGGGCTGGGAACACGGAGAACCAGGCTAAGTGCCTGAGGCCTTGTCCCAGGCCTCCTGGGCTATGTGCTGTCACCAAAGGAATGGTACCCTGTATTTTGGGAACTTGGCAGCTGGGGCTGGGTTTTTCGTGTTTTCTGTAATTATTTTCCTTTTGTTCTTCCTTGGTGTTTAGTAAAGCCCTTTGTGGAAATGCCAGCTGGTCTCAGCTGTGCTAAGAGGAGTGACAAAGGGGACCTGTGTGCATGGCTGGCCCTGGGCTTTAGTGGAGGGCCTACCAAAGTCAAGGGCCGGCAAGGGCACAAGGTGGCTCTGGAGGTGACTGCCAGGACCCAGTGTCCAGATAGTTTCTGGAAGCAGATTCCTTCTAGACTCTTCCAGGCTCGCCCCCCCCCCCCAGACAGTCAGCTTTATAGAAAGCTGGGGATCTGGCAGGCTGGCCCACCCTGGTTGCTTTGAAGGAAGGCATTTGGATTCCAGCCAGAGGTGTGGAAAGCTCTGGTGAGACCCAGGGGCCAGGCACCTGCTGAGTTGTTTCCAGCCGTGGGGGCGCGCTGGGGGGTGGGGGTGGGGCTTGCTCCACAGCTGGAAGCTACTGTGGTGCTCAGAGCTAGCCTCCGTTCCCGATAACCCTGTCCTGGGTATTTCTGAGCCTGGGACCCCCATCTGTCTGTTGTGCACGGGTGTGACCCCTCAGCTGGTCTGTCCACCTGCCTGGGACCCAC